CACCAAGACGATGCGCCGTGTCATTCCTCCGTCGCAGTGAGAGAGGTTTGAACGAAAAACAAGATCGCAACATTGCAGCACGCGCCTTATTCGCCGTGCGACTTTTTTCTGTTCCCGAAAATTAAAATCCGCCTCAAAGGAAGACCATCTGAGGACCTTTGCAGACATTCAGAAGAACACAACGCAGCAATTAAAGGCGGTATCTTCCGATGACTTCCGCTGCTATTTTAGATCCTCGAAATCGAGAATGGAGTGGTCGGAGAGCACTTTGAAGGGGATTAGCATTGAAATTGTTGTATTTAAAAGAATAAATGATTTTAATATATTTCTCGTTTCGTTTTGGCCACACCTTGTAGATGCTTCGTTAGTTAAAGTGTCCTGGAAGGTCTCTATTAAGGATAGCGTCACAATATTTCATATTCATCATCATATGCGTACTCTTCTCAGCTAAAACGAAGCATGGAAATGAATAAAAAAAAACGAGATGAGGTATTTGAAGTGAGAATGAAGTTCAAAATCATCAATTCATAATTTTCCGGGCAAAAATGCGTTTCTGTAACGTTTGCTTCTTGCGCTTTCGAGGAGAAACCACCAAACACTTCCCCAAGAGCCACGCAAAAAGAGCGTTCCGAATCATCGACAATGTTTCAGGCGCCTGACGGTGTGCGCGGAAATAAGTTCGCCTATTTCACCCTTCTCAGTAGGATTGCTGGTTTCTCATGGCGCTACATGCAAAGAACTGTAAAAATTATTCGTTCACGCCGAAGAGGTTCAGGCATTTTTAGGCTAAAATTGTGAATTGTGAATTTCTAAGTATTTCAAGCCGTCTTTTATTGATATGTGCGGGTTTCCCAGTTTCTTTTCTACGTTGATCTCGCACATATTTAGTCCTAACGCAAGAAAGCCTTACCTATCGCATGAGAGAAATATCAACTATAAACTTGGAGGGGATGGGGCATCGGCATTTAAAGGCCCCACTACATCCTCGTGCTTCCAAATCATCAGTGAGGAACCGTGACGTATGCCGGAATGCTGAAGCCTCCCACGGCGTTCCTCCAAGGAACCTCCTCCTAAAGGCCTCTGCATCTTGGCATGCACAAACCTCCCTTCAGCTTTCCCAAAGGGTTCTCTCCAGGCCGTTCCTTCGCGATGCCTTCATCTAGCCTCGCGCAATCAAGCATTAGTCCAAAGAAACGGTCGGTGAACTTCGACCCTACATCAAGAAAATATTTACGCGGTCGTGCCAATGCTCATGAAATGGCAGAGAGAAAAAAGGAGGACTCCAAAAGCAACGAGACGAGGATCCCTGCATGGGAAGGAAATATCGGTCAACGTTTGAAGACAGTAGCGAGGAGGAAAGTTGACCAACACAAAAAAACAGGTGAGTAACCGCCATTCTAATTGATTAACGATGTAACCTATCGTTACCTATCGTAACCTAATCCATTCCCATACTAATAGCAGCACTTATCAATACAAAATGAATATTACATGCTAATCATCATTCAAAAGTCTGCAGTAGAAAATACGCAAATAAGCTTGTTTATTTCCCATATCATTTCAGATGCGCATCTGAAATGATACGGGGCACCCACCTCCTAACGAGTGTATCCACCTCCTAACGAGTGAACTTCGTGCGAGAAACCACTCTGGTGTCATTGCAAAGCATATCAAGAATCCATTCGACTGCGACGCGGGAGAGAACCTCCGGCAGAGGCAACCTCAGGAATGTGAAGACCAGCGACGCTCGCGGCAAGCGAGGCACTGTCAGGCGACACGGGCCGGCCGTCTCAATTGGCTTGTATCTCATGAGTTGCAGATCTCGTGCAGCAGGCCAATGAAAGGCGTTACATTGGAGTCCATATTCTGAATCGTAATAAATAATTGCTGCAGCTGAAGAAAGATACATGGAAAGTTGAACTGTAAGTCACGGAGAGGAAAAATCTGAGGGCGGATGAAGCTCCGACTAGAATCCTTTTCGATTGCAACTGCACCAGCAGTAGATATAGGTGTCAATTATGAACTATCGTAGACGTATGTGGAAATGAAGCACAAAACGATGTCCAGAAGACGCCGCCTTGATAATAATACGATTCGCTGATCCATTTTATAAGCAACAAGCCTATACCCACTTAATTATCGTCAGGCTCAACGTAAGTTTCCGCTCAGTGCTGCGCGAATGCTCGCTCCTTCTGAGCTCCGTTTTTCGCTGAGGCCTCAGATAAGCATCAGGCCAGAATCTTCGTTCCATGGCCTCCAGTTCTTCCTTGCCAATATCTTTAAGCGCTGGTAGCATCACGACGATGATGATGAACTAGTCGAAATGACTTCAATTGAGCCATCTGAGGCAGGAATCGCTTCCAAAAGCCAACAAATTGCTCGATGGCTCAATCCAAGCTTTGACTGAAGTGCCACTCAGCAGCGTTTCATAAGTCCTCGTAGACCGTCAGTAGATCGCTTCTGAAGCCACTGTCTCCAACAAGGCAGCTGCTGAATTTCGGCTTTACCCTTTTCTTCGAAATATGGTTTAAGTTTTCTTGTTATATTGTAAGGAATTCTATTTCAATTCCACACTAAGCGAATTTCGTTTCCTCGTCTACGAACATGGCGCCAAGCAAAACGAGAAACAATCACCGACGCATCACATCAGCATAGCCAATACACGTTTATTGGAAATATCTAGCAAAGGCCTTCACGCCTTCCCAGGTCTCCTGGCCGGTTGGGATGATCTGGCTGGCAGGGAGTTCGAATCCCCAGAAGCCAGTGTCTCGCAGTTCCAGCGTGTAGGAGTACTGGATCTCCCCGACTCCCTTGGCCCAATCGTCCGACCCGCCGGCCGCCGGAGCTGGGGAGACGGCAGCAATCCCCGTATTAAATTTCGCACGATATGTAATTTTTCTCCTTCGCCTACATCAATGAATCTAAAAAAGTATGTCCGACTCCATCAGAGTCATCTAATGCAAGCAGGCCATGATCATAAACCGGTGGAGTCAGGCGATTCGAATCGACAAATATGAAAGCACCGGCGATGCTTCATTTACAATGCAACGTGCAACACTTTGAACGAACACTATGGATACAAATTGTCATCTACTCCACTGTTACGTACAGACAGACAAAAAAAATAAAACCTTGGAAAAAACAGCATAACAAGTAATTAAGGCTGTCAACCGATTAAAGAATGTAATTGATTAATCGTGAGCCATTTCATCGATTAATCGGTCGGTTAATCTAATGTCAATTGACCCCATAGTTCCTCCTTGAATCATGTCCTCGGCATCTGGGAATGATTCCGCTTGTGTCGTGCCAGTCACCTAAGCGAGCCTTGAAGCGATTCAAGGTGATGCAGTCAATATCCATAGATACACTTCGCGGTGTTAAAAGAAATAGTGGCAATTAAAAAAAAAACCAGGAATTATAGTAAATCCTATCCGATCAGCCCAATAATTCACAAACTGCATGTGGATAGATGAAATAAGTTTTTTTTTTACCAACTTTCAAGGATATTGACCTAAAATATTTTCATGCTCCATTTTTTTTAAACCTAAAAGTTCTACACCAGACATCCTCGTTCGTGATGAGAATTATCCGCCTTAATCGTGGGTTAAGGCGGATAATACTCAGTACATGCTAAATTATCTGCACGTGCCATGCAGAACGGTCAAGGATTCCGGCCAACGCATTCGTTTTCGGTTGTTTTGCAAAACATTCAAGAGATTAGGGGGAATATTAAATTTTGATTGATTTCAACTACTTTTTTAAATGGCAATTAATAATGTAATCAATTAATCGATCAATTAATATAATCGGATTGATAGTCCATCAGTAATTAGCAGTTACGCACAAAGTAAAGGGAATGATTCATTAAAGGTGGAGCTTATTATAGATTTGGGCAATACTTACATAAACCTATAGCCGAGGTATCAAATATGTAGTCGGTTCCAAAAACGGCCTCTATAGCGTCGACGCCCATCATGCCGGCTTCTTCCTATCACGAAAACATGTGTGAGTCAAATGTATTGAATATTACTGTTGTCGACCGTATTGCGTGCAGGATCTCACCAGCAGATCGTAGTCTTCGGGATAGATCGCATCATAGCCCCACGGACACAGCCAATATTGGCCATAGGAGTGGACGGTGAGGAATCCCTGGAAGGTCCGGTCCGCGTTTTCATCCAAGAGGAATTCCGCGACGGAGCTCGTCTCGCTCTCCGAGAATGGAATCGGCCCCGCGTAGATCTCGCTGCAGGGATTCTGGCTCGCTCCGCTCTCTTTCGCGGAAGAACGGAATTCACTTCGCGAATGTTTCCGACCCTTTCGATGCGAAAAGGGACCCGAGACGTACCCATCCAATGGAAGTCCCAGTTTCGGTTGGGATCTACTCCTCGACATGAGGATTCCGTCACCGATCGCGTCTTCCTCCAATACCTCTCCTGTCCATCATATTGAAATAAAGGCCTATTTACAATTGCAGTTAGGTAATTATAATGAACATATGGGCAACTTCACATTCTTCAATAGGTAATAATAATATATCAAATATCTGAAGCCTCACGTTGGTGTGGCTGTATTCGTATCCATCAGGATTGTGGACCGGGAGGAGGTACCAGTCGAAAAGATCCACGACATCCCTGTTTTCTTCGTAGTTCTCCACCAACTCTCGAAGGATGTAGGTCACAACGGCCGGGGAGATCCATTCTCGAGCATGGATACCTGGTAGAAAATATGACCGGATATTGTCACGACATTAAGTGATTTCTCAATATTTTAATATAATTCCCAAAGTTGTACCTCCATCGATCCACATCTTCTGCGAAGCCGTTCCCGTGGAAACCTTGACCAGCTTCATGTCTCGGTTTTCGAAACTGGACCCGATGCTCATCACAGTCACCATGTCTGGGTAGTCCTCCGCCAGTTGGTCCAAGTATCCGTGGATCTAAACCACTTCCCCATATGAGCTTTAATATAATTCTCACGACTGCAACATTGGGCTGCTGAGACTCACGTCAACGAGACGATGGTAAGATGTCCAATCCATAGCCCTGGGAGTCCCATCTTCGTTTGGCTCTGCCACCTTCTGTTCGTCTGAAAGTCTACCAGAAAAAAAAAATTAACAGAGAAGCTAGTGCCACCATCTGGCCGATTGCAACGTTAACACAATGGATGGTTTTTACTTCTGGACGTCACGGATGATAGTCAAGAAAGGAAGGTCGAGTTCCCCGAGTCGCCCTTCCAGTTCCTCGACCACCTCGGGAGGCACCATGATGTCCGTGGAAGGCTTTCGCACTTCCGTCCAGAAATCGAGACGGATATCCAGGCGCATCTGGGCCAGGTGTTCCAGGCCCACCGAGTCTTTCGGGAACACTCGTTTCACCTGGTACCTGAACGAACCGAATCGTCACGAATCCAAATCCAAAATATATATATGAAATTCATTTTTTTTGCCACGATTTTAGGACTCACCCATCGTATCTCTTGCGCTCGGCAGCGGCAAAGACCGCCAAGAGAAGAAGAACCAACTGCTTCATCGTGAACGTGGAGGTGAAGAACTACGATTCACATATCCGCTCGTGGTCGTTTTATATCTGGAATCGCCCGTGAAGCAGACAGGTGTGCGTATCCTCATTGCGAAACACAGGGAAACACACATGTCCGGGAGCCCCAAACAAAACAAGCTCAATTCCTACAGTACAATGACACATGCATTCTCCATAGTTTTTTTTAATCGTCCACCCATTTCAATAAAGTTGCGCCAAAGAGAACCGGAGTGTATCCTCCGAAATTCTCCAATCTCTGCAACTCATTGAAGCCCAGCATGAACTCGCGTTTGAAATCGTGCCAAATCTTGGTTCCGTAAACGTTCCACTATGCACGATGTCCATCCACTGGTTTTCTCCAGACCGTCTCGAACCAAGAGACGCGTCATAGAGGCCTCTTAGGAGCATGAATGAGGAATGAGAACAATCTGGATAGTAGCTCAACGAACTTCATGAAAAATGCATTAAAAACCTGCATGCAAAAACTAAGGATAACAAGACGGAGTCTTTAACTTCAGTGTCAAATATGAATTCCCGCTACTTCTTCGTATATGTCTACATTGGGGATCGGTAATGGGCAGGGGATCCACGTACTCATGCATCGGAGAAATTCTCTATGCAATCATTTTATCGCGAAAATCCTTATCACGACGTGAAGTTTCGCGATGAGAAAGAAGCTTCACGAAATAATGATGAAACTGTTTCTCCGTGTTATCAGCTTCTGACTCCTCTCTCTGTATCCGAGTGGCACTAAAAAAAAAACGTTCGCAGAGGTGCGCGGTACCTGACGAAACACAATGCAATCGCAGCACGGGTAGGAAATGTGAATTGAAGCACGAAAAATGAAACAAAAATTTCCCGAACTCAAACTGGGCTCAAGACCCGAATGAAACGGTTTATCTTGTCTCCCAAACGATGCGACGAGGATGAGAGCCTGTTGAGCTAGGACAAGTCCGGTCTTTCGAGGAAAAAGTAGCAGGTGTGAGCTCTCGCACGCATCACATTCGTGAGGATTCCCGGATATCCAGTTCAATCTGCCCGATCGAAGGAGGGGGAATTGAAGAGAGATTTAAAAAGGCCCGTGACAGACAGCTACGAGGATTTGCACCCGTTATCCAACCCCTATTCGTTGGCTTCTGCGTCGGACACTCGAGGTAGATCCGCAACCGATCCGGCCACCCGTAACAAGGTCAATAGACCTTGTTACGTTCGATGTCGTTTGGAGCATATCCAAGGAATAGGAAGCAGAAGCATATTAGTCGCAGTCGATCATTCTTCCCGTCTGCCACGCTGCGTGCCTTGCCCTATCGGGGCGTCGAGACCCTTGCCTCGTGCGAGGATTCATTCGCCACCTAGGAGAGCCGAGAACGATTGCCGGGGCGAAATCGAGTCCACCCTCTTCGCTTCGCTGCGCGCTCACTTGAAATTCCTTAAAGTAAGAGTAACATTCCTCGTGGAACAGGAATACTGAGAAACAGAGAAAGATACAATCGAAGTAACCATTTCGAAGACAATATCGGTTCCTTCTCTCTCGACAGACTTTTCGACGGTCGCATAATTTTTTCATACGTTTATTTGAAAATAAATTGAAGAATGAATCGCGACGTTGGACAATGAAGCACCAAAGGCAAGACCACAGCGAGTTTATTTGAATGAAAGGCAAATAAACTCGCTAGTTATTAAGAGACTATCTGAGGATACCTTTACGTAATGATGTCCCTAAGAATTCATGAATTCATCTACATCAACACTTCCGAACCGCTCACGGAGATCTCCGTTTATAAGTCCTTTCACCTGGCCTTGTAGGCTTCGAGCTTCAGGCTCGCTTAAGCCCCAGCTTCAGCTGGGGCTTAAGTCAGAATGGCGGATTGGCGGGGTAAAAGGTCCGGTACGCAATGTGTTAAAATGAAAACAGACTTGGTCAGGAATCCTTCGCCGACCAAGTAGGTCGGCCAACGTTTCAATATTGCAGTTGCTATAGTTATCTAGGAAATTGTGTATTCCTCCAATTTCGTAAATATGATTCTCTAGAAGTTGCATGACAAAATCCAACTATTCAATTCACAAGGGAAGCGACTTGAATTTGTGGATTCGGGAAATTTCGGATCGCTCCAGAAGACCTGCACACCCTGGAACAATACATGGATTTTTCGGCATTTATGCCTTTGCATAACGCCGAAAATCCTCTCTCCAAGAGAATTAAAAGGGGAGGAAATCCGATTGAGATCATTGTGATCGACGTGCGACAGCTATGGGGGGAAAAAACACGAATAATGCATTGATCTGCCACGTTATAGCCTCCTCTCAAAATGTTTCCGATACATCCGAGGAAGATCGGCTCAGGAAGGTCTCTTCTCCCGGACGTCCATGCTAATATGGCACAGAAGTTAGGCCACTCTCAGAGGGAACCTGCAGCAAGTTGAATCCCTGAAAAAATCATCCCCTTTCTAATACTATATTGGTATCAAACTCCTGAATGCATCTTAGTTTTGAATATGTACATGATGCGATATTAAGAAAATAATTATTCGTGTTTCAAGCAGTGTCTCAACTTATTGTATTGTCTTGTCTCGTGCTTGTTTGGGACCAAGGTAGCCGTACCCGATTTGTGGAAAATTTTTTATGAGGTTCTCAAGCCTGTCCTGCATGACGGGTAAGTTTTCGCTCAGCTACGTTTGCCATTCCCAATATCCATACACCCCTGGCATTGGGAATGGATAATCTTTCAAGCCTCCCAAATGGCAACTAGGTCTCCGAGTATCTATAATTCCGATAAAACGCATTTCTCACCAGTCCCTGATTTGCATTCATTGTTTATCTTAGATACTGGAAGATGAACAGTCTGCTATGTTCAGCTATTGTCGCCTTGTACGTGCTTGGAGGATAACAGCCGCTCTAAGATAACGACCTTTAATCCGTTCGCCTCTCCCTCAATTCTTGGAAAGCCTATTTATTTAAGAACTCTAAGAGTAAATGCGAAGATAATGAACATCGGGCACTTTCTACGAAGCAGTTTAATCATTGAGTCTTAGAATGTACCGTGGTATACGTTCAATGATGGATAAGGGCCACTTTATCAAAGAACGGGGCGCATGTCAAAATACTTGTGCTTTTTGGACGCTATCTATCAGCGTTTGTGTAACATGATTGTTTCGAATAGGTTCGAAGAGAGTTGCCTTAGAGAAAAACGAATCTCCCCTTAGGGCCAGGGTTAAATCATGGGATTTAAAGTTGCTTGTAGAAGTTAGTTTACTTGACAGAAAATCATGCGCAAAACCACTAATAAATAGCATAATTTACTAGAAAGAACAGGTGTAACTGCCCGTTTTCTAAGCATGGTGATCAATATGACTTGACCATTACATCGATTTTTCTTTTGTCCATATAAAATCATAAATGTTAAGAATGGAAATTCACCTCGTTCCTGCATTCCGTCCCATGTCCATTTGCAAGATAGAGGGGACACCGAAGTAGGCTAAGACCCTCTTCTCCAGCTTAACGGAAATTTCCGTGGTCTCATTGCATACATTGCATTTCGAAAAGTGATCTTTGTAGCTGGCGAAGTACTTTTATGTTTCATTGGTCTGGTCAATTTTGGCAATCCTTTCCATTGAAGCTGGATTTTGTGTATTTTAGACCATAATACCAGGAACCTTATGAACTCTGCGACTTGGTGAAAGTTGTTGACGTTTAGGTTGTAAGGGAGGCTGGTTTTTTGTTTCGCATATTTACAATAATGAGGGCAAGTTCTGGTGATTTATTCCACTAAGGGTTCGAGATCCCCTGCGTATAATTTTCTGGTCTCATCTCGGGTTTTTCTGTAACCTGCACCATGGAGAGCTTCATGGGGAGAGTGCATAATTGGGCATACGTCCTCTCTTGCCGTCACGATCCTGAACTCTTCCAGGGGATCGGGTTAGGTCTGGCTTCGGAGAAATTTTAATGAAGAGACTTGGGAAAAGTCCTGGAAGAAAACTCCAGCGCGAAGCGTGGCATTCGAAGTGAAAGAGTTGTAGTTCTCAAAGTGATTGTGTCGTCGCGATATTTTCCGAGAGAGGCAGTCAGTTTTATCTGTCCCAAAACAAACTTAACGCACCGATGTAATCATGGATATATACATTTACGAACTCGTAGATAACCTATGCATAAGAAAGTATTTCATCTCACCGAATGCGTGCATAGCATTGACACTAGCCATAGATGCACGCTAGCAATGACGTAGCCATTCCACTGAATTTTTCGTCTTAGCATCTCGGCTTCCTCCTTCGACGTAGGTTGATGCTGCCCTGCGAAAGGACATATAGATTCTTTTTTATTTCACCTGCATAGTCTCTACTGCCAATTCATGCACGTGCTAACACACAGCTTATAGAGATGAACGTTGGGAAATTCAGAAAAGTTTCTTCTTCCGCAAGGTATAATCTCTTCATTCAAGATAGTATATTAAATGGATAGTCAGGTTAATTACAAGACAGACATGTGAAAAGTCTGTCTAGTTTACAATGCGATGAGATGCAGTTCCTTTTTGCGCGAATGTGGGTTGATGACAGGTGGAGGGAAGTGGAAGAACGGATGTATTCCCCATAGAGGGCTTTGAGGGAATGTACGAGGGTTATACCAAATTTTCTTCGTGTGGCCAGTATGTTTAGTACAAAAATAAAAAAGTAGAAACTTGGCATGATTTATACTTCGATATGATCTCCTTGAAACAGAATAGTAATAATCGTGTACCGCGCATGCGGCTCTTTTAGAAGGTGGGACTAGCCGTAGTCAGCGGGGCTGATGTCAGGACATTGGACAGTCTGATCCTAGATCAACATGCTGTTGGTATCTGCCATGCATAGTCTGAAAGTAGATTTATCAATCATGACATTGAAGCTGGACACAATCGAGTAATATTTTATCCATTTAAGAAAGAGGAAGACTTCCATGATAAATAATGGAATGCATGCAGATATACTGAGCAAGGCACTTAAAAGGATATGCATGTGTCACGTGGTAAGCTTTTAG